CCCCCCCCCCCCCCCCAGGAATTAAATACTATATCAAGTTTACAAGGACACCTGTTTTGCAGTATATGGACTACTCTTTAATATCTTATAAATGCTTTGAATTTGTCTTATCATTCAAGTATTTGATTTATTGAGATACAAATTAAGGTCTTATTGTGATATTTCATTTCAATGTAAATATGAACAAGTTACATTCTTATTTTTATTTTTAATATCAGACATATTTAGTACAATAATTTTAAGTATTTTTGTAAATGACTTGTTATTCAAATCCCTCTGTGCCTTCACATCCTTCTTTGATAAGTGGGAATTGTAAGTTTACTAGGCCGGCACACAATTGGAATATTTCATCAACATAACATCTAAAGTATGATGGTATGAAAGAAAGAATTTTAAAATCCTTAAGTCTGGCATTCGCCCTTTCTACGTGTATTCTACACTTGGAGATTGACTTAGTAGACTTGGCCTCACTCTCAGTAAATTTTCCATTATTAAGAAATGGAGGGATATTAACTGAAACGTCATGAGGAACAATGTCCTTTATTAAAAAACCCTTATCAGCTAATATCAAATCACCTGCTACAAGGTGTCTAAGCAATCCTGACTTTTCCACAATTTCTTTGTCAGAGATGGAACCTGGATACAGTTTGCTCACATGTTATGACTGCATTTGGGGCTACAATTTAAAAGAATTCATACTTCGGTAGCTAGAATAAGTAGCATTTTGATCCTTCATTAGACTTGGAGTTGCTACCTCAATATCAGTGCAATCAATGACTATTCTACAGCTACTAAACTGTGAAAAGGATGATGGTGAGCATGTCTTATTTTTATCTCTTGAAGGGATGCTGGTCATTATATCATTGAATAAAAGACTGTGGAGGACGTGAACAAATGTTAAGATGTTTGATTATTATTGTTGCAATGCTACAGGAAAATAATTGAGCTAAATGAAGATTTGTGTAATTTTGCTTTAACTTCATAAGTGTAATAAAAACCTGATCTTCTAATTTAATAGTATCAACTTTCCAGTTTGAAAAATAATTTGTTATCCTTAAATCTGCCTACATGCCTGACAACTATGTCAAATACTTCTTTTGTAGGAAGACCAGTTTCCATTCGTAACGTCTCGGTATTGATCGAAGATGCAGTGTAATGGTTTCTTCCATAATGGACACTTTCTTTCAGTTTTTGCAGCTCTCTGAGGGCATTATCCAGTTCAACTTGTAAAATAACTTGCTCTGTTGGAGGTTTCTGTGCAGTCTCCTCAGCAGCATTATTAATTGACTCATTTTTTTCCTTTAGAACTCTTACCATATCCTGTACACTAATTGCCGGGTTGTCAATCGATTTCCTTTTTTTAGGGTTGTGTGTTTTCCTTTCTGTGCAGGGAAAAAGTTTCTTTTCATTACGAGCATAAATTTCGGGTCCATTACTCTTGTCTCCATCTACGAAATGGCAACTACAAACTCTAGAATTCTGAGTTGGCTCTCTATCTTGCCTTCTGTAATGAAATAAAAACAACACTTCTTTAGTAAAAATATATTGTAATATATGATGTATTAAAGAATAAATGTTAGGAAATTTTGAGATATTTTTAAACTTAGAAGATCTGACGATCGAGTGAGCATCAACAACTCGTATCGTACTTTACGCACCTTATCAAACGAACCCAACGTTTATACTCTTGAATTTTCGGCAGTGGTGGCTTTCTGACTGGTGATTACAATCAGGAACGAAGAACGAAGCCCATGGTGAACTTGACGTGAACACAATATCCAAAATCACAAAATCAGTCACGCTCTTTGCAATGATGTGATCGCCAAAATCATACGCTTGCGAAGAAAAACTCACCTCATAAGTATAGTTAATCCTTTTCCTTTGAAAATTGATTCCTCTTTTGACAGAAATAATTAAAAAATCCTAGCAATACAAAGGATAAAAGAGCAGCATAAGACGTGTCACGCTATAGACGCCATCTTAAACGGAGTCTTCGCAGTCCACGCTAGTGTTCACTAGCCATCATCTACTTAAACGGAGTTTGTTTAGAGCCGAAAATTTTCGTCGCTAGGCAACGTGACGTCATACTTGAGGACTATTCTACTAACCACAGGCGCAAGCATGGCGGCAGAGTTCGCTCTTGCCGTAGTACAAGAAACTTTAGAGAGTATAGATGCCTGTCAGGATGGTGATTACAGTGGTATTTTGCTTCGATTAGAATATTTAAATCGAATCCTTATAAATAATGAGGAATTGACGGATTCTGTTGTGGCTGGAAAAGGTTCTGCCGTAGCATCTCTATCTAGCGTACAGCTAGGGTGAAGCTCTTGGGCCTATTAGTCTTGAAACACGTCGATTTTCTTCGCTATCTTGCATCTTCATCCCTTGCATAGATGCATCATAGGGCGCTAGGTCTAACACACATACAATTTCGGTTCTACCTACATATGAGCTCATCATACAAACTTACAAGCAAATTATTTTTCGATACATCATTTCAACACCGCCCCCTCCACACGTGCCATCGCCATACGCGGCGTATTTACACTATTCTTCACGCTATTCTTAGATTTAACCCTATAAATCACATATTTCCCCCATTTGCCCTTTACATTATTGATGCTATCAATTTCCTATATCTCTTCCTTTCTATAATATCCGTACGAAACTCATTCTCCTCCATGTCCTGGTGCTCTCTTAATAATCTACCGCATTCCCTCACACTTTTACGCATCAAAAACCCTTTCCCCTTTTCCCTTGCTTGAGTCCGAATACCTGTGTCTTCCATAGGTCTTCGAATTCACCTTCCAAGATTCTATGCTTTAAATTTGCAAAGCATTATGGACAAAAGAGCCTGTCAGAGGCAAATTCCATCAGGTGACCTCCTCCCCTCCCCCTCCCCCATAGGCTTCCCATCTCAAGATCACTGAAGCGTAAACGAAAATATAAAACTCGAGTTGAAAATTTACGAGGTCGAGTTCGAAATATGATGCGGTGAATTTTCAATCCACTGCTTGGAGTTGAAAATTGCGGCATCCGACTTGAGATTTGACGGGGCGAGTAAAAATGTCGCCCATTGATGTAAGATACAAAAGAAGAGTTATAAATTCTCGAACGCTGTATAAACTTGCATGTCGAATTTAAAAGATGAATGTAGAATACAAAACTTGCATGTCGAATTTAAAAGATGAATRTCGAATATAAAACTTGCATGTCAAATTTAAAACATGAATGTAGAATATAAAACTTGAATGCTGAAGTTCAARACTTGAGCGTAAGATTCAAAACTTGAATGTCGAGTGTAAAATTTGTATGTTGAATTTGAAACTTGAATGTCAAATTCAAGGCACGAATTTTGGCGGGGATCGTACGCCATAGGGTTGACCGTTTCCTCGGTTTCAAAGACTCTAAAAGAATCCAAAGGAGAAGTGGAAATAACTCGCAAAATTTCGAAAAGCATTGACAGAGCTACTAATTTACAATAAAAGCCAAATTGGGCCATACGATTTATAATATGCAGTCCAGCAGTTCGGATTTATGTCATTACGTTTTGCTTTAGCTCGACTAGAAAACTCGCTAAAATAGCTATTACATAATCATAAATGAAATACTGCGAGTATGTATAAGATAATATCAAAAGATATTTTATGTCACATGGATTGTCTTTCTCGATTCGATTCAATGAAAGATCGAGTGCGTAAATTCCTCTAATTTTGAGATAACAGCAAATTTAATGACAGCAGCTGAGTACCATTTTTTTACAACTTTTTATTGGGTCTCAATCAGGAAGGAAAATTACAGAACCAACATGCTACCCAAAACGGAAAGTGCGAACTCAGTAGGTCCCATGCTAGGCATTTCCTTTCGACTAACGATATAAATCAATAGAGAATGATCTTGGAAAATTAATACAGTTATAGATGTAAGAAATTATAACTAGTGAACCGAGAACGGTCAAAAATAATCAATAACAAGGACACTTACGATGACCAAGCCGCATGTCAGACCAACATCAAATGTGTCAAGCAAAGAAAAGTACTTATGCCTTAGAAACAATTTAAATTGAGAGCGACTAGAAAAAACACTAGTTGGCGCCTCTTTACAGACGGTGTTCCAAAGGCAAACCATCCTATTAAAGTAAGATGCTTTAAAAGTAGTGGTTTTACAAAAACATGTTTCAAGAACCATACCAGGATTTTGGGTCAGGAACTGACCATTACAATTACGTGCATGAGAATCAAAAAAATAAATACTGTGGTCTTTATTAAAGCAATGATGTAGCTTTCTAATATTATAAATGCAAAATTATTGTTACTAAAAGCATTCATCAGCTGAACGGTAAATGAAAAATGGAGCCTGCACGCTCGTCACACTCGTTACCAACATTTTTCATTATGCCCGTACGAATTATTCGCGATTGTTATTCGTACGGGAATCGCGGTTCAGCGAATATTTACCAACATTTTTCACTCCCGTACGAATTATTCGCGATTGTTATTCGTACGGGAGTCGATTCAGCGAGTATTTTAACATGCATGATAGCATTGTTTGATTCCTGGTAATGGTGACCATAGCGGTCCTTTCAATGGATGTGAAGAGGTCCCTCACGCTTAGTTGACATCCAGATGGACGTGTAAACCATCTTATCAACTGCTGAACCATATTCTTCCATTAGGTTTCTTTTGAAATATCTTATATTACATTTTGGTCTTCGTTAACCAAAACATGTAACATTTGGGTAAAATACTTCCTTTTGTTCTCTAAATACTGATTGATTTATTAGTTGATTAGTAGCTTCACAAGTCCTTTCCCCGGATGTGAACTTTGTGCTAGCAAAATAAGTAACATATCCATAATTTGGTAAAGGATAAAGAGGTAGATCCAAAGATGGAAAGTTACGATCTGGTTTCTAACGGTAAATCCGAACAATAGTAAAAGGGGTTGGTTTCCCTGTGGTATTTTCACTATCGTCGCACCACGGGTAGTCCATACTTTTAAAAAGTAAAATATAAACGCACACTCTAATTATATGCTTTTGAACAAACATAAAAATCACTACACACGTTTTCTGTTTTTACTTGGATAGCATTGATGCTGGGATACTGTACAGAATATCCATCCCTTTGGCCTAAAGACTTCTTTTTTGCCGTTTGCGGTATCCATGGCAACTGTAGGCCGCTATTTTTCTGTTTTAGCTTATAGCAAGAATACAAGTAAAGAATTGTCCCACGACGTCGTTTTTGATTCCTTGTTTCATAAAAAAAGATAAGTAAAGAGATGATAAGTGAAATAAATTCACAGATTCTCACAGGATACCTCTTGAAGCCGTAATCTCAAAAAAGCCATAATTTTTCAATAATCTTTCAAAATAATTGCATCAAAGTAATTCTTATAGTAATGTTACACTTTTCACTGTGATTTTAAGTCGAAATACTACAATTAAATTTTTTGCTTGTTCCGATACTCCACCCAGGAAAAGTCCGATCCAAAGGGAGAATCCAGATTGGGATTTTCCACAATTTTGGATTTTGAGGCAAACAGAAATAAATTCTAAAAGAGCAAGAGAAATGGAGATAAATGGTGTAATTTGTTTTGTTCTAGTTTTAAAGTAAATAGATTTACGAGCATTTAAAGTTTGGACCCGCAAGCCACTATTAAGCCTATAAATACAACACACCCACCTGCCCAAGGTTCTAGGTACTACAAATTTTGGCCCTTCTGGGGCAAAAAGTTAGCGCTTACTAGCCTTACTTAAAAGCCAATCCTTTCTCCGCTAAATCAGACCAATCATACTAAAATCCAATGCGATGTTCGTTTTATCCGCACTGTGACTTTAATTCGCAGGTGTATCGATAAAACGCTAAAGATAATCCAAATGCGGTTTCTATATGTGGTATATGAATCAATCGTAACATTTTGTTGCATGTTATTGGCGGCGCGCAATCGCAGAATCATACGATATCCCGTTAAACCACGCTATTCTTGCACCTTTAAGATAATTAAACAGGACGTCCGTATCTGGGGTAAATCCAGGCCTACAGTTCAATCCGTTCAGACAAGCTGAAAAGTCGAGCCCGAAAAAAAAGCCTCGACTTTTTCACTGTCACACAGAATGAACTCTTTTGTGATGTTTTAATATTCTTTGAGTTTTAGGGATTTGAAAAGTGCCTCTAAGTACTTTTTCATAGTGAAAATTCAAGATACCGATGAGTACTACAACGCGGGCGGAGAGACATAGTAGTAAAATACAGTAAATGTATGTAATTTGGGCTGTGAGAGGCCCATGAAATGCACTTTACGCCCGTGATATAGCTTTTTTTTTTCAAAACACACTATTTAATCACAAACAAAGCCCTGCTATTCTTTATCATTCCAGTTTGTTGTATGACGAAGCAATCGTAGACGAACCCGAGGCTAATGAGGAAGGATTTCTAACCTCTAAACTCATCATAGACGAAGCGACGAACAAGTTTAAGACAAATTTGGGGACATTTTATCTCAATAATAGACATTCATGTGCGAAGTTAAATCAATGATAAAAGGTGAAAAATATATCCGAATTTTGTAAAATAGGTGTGTAACCACAGATAAACCAATGAATTGAGTTTGTTTGGTGCTCATTCTTGAAAAAAGGATACTCTTGCAAAGCTTATGTTTACTTATTTTGCAATTTCGAACGAGCAAAAATCAAACATTGTGCACGGTCAAGACCGGTTCAACATCAAAAGCGAACAAAGACAGATAACAATAGGTTTCCTAACCATTCCCCTCTATTAACTATGGTTTGAGCTAGGAACTTCATGGGTGATTAAATTACCGTACGAATAGTGACTTCTTCGTATGAAAGTGCTGTTTTTCACTTACAATCGTTTAGCATAACTATACATTGAGGTCATGCATTTCGTAAATAACCATCAAAGTTTTACCCCGAAATCTTCGATAAAGTATTTTCTTTAGATATAGCTCTTTCCTCACGTCCAAAGCTTTATTCATTAAGAAAGGTTTAAATTCATTATAAGTATTTTACACGAGTTTGTTTGTTTGTCAAGGTTTGATTGAAGCCAGCATACAGACTAATTAAAAACAAGTTTGTAAAGTGTTATACGTTTATCCGGTTTAATTGAGAGTATTGAAATCCGCCAATGAAAAGAGTTATCGCTCATTCAAGGATAACAAAAGGACGGTATCTTCTAAGAAAATTTTTTTTGGCTGTGACAAAAGTTATAGACGACCAAAGAAGAAGATAGTAGCTTCTGATACGAGTTAGACGTTAGAAAAAAGTGTGCTGTCTAACATGGAAAAGTCCAAGGCTTCACGACGAAAGTCTCGCCCGGTTAGTGAGTTGATAACTCTTTTTGATCACCAGCAAGCAGAAGAAACTAAAGGCGAACAATGGAAAAGTGAGAATGCTTTGAATTTGATAAAATCACCAAAAACTCATGACAAAGAAAAACCCACAAAAGAGTCGAATCTCTTTGGGAATTCGGTGATGTCAAAGTCTTCAGATTCTGTGTTCAACTCTGACTTATCAGCTGAGAATGACAAGAAACTCGCTCGTGGTGAAGCGCTTGGAAAAACGAGTATAATACTTACTCTAAGACCTCAGTCAGGAACAGAAAAGACCAAGGTATCGATTTCTTCCATTGAACCCAATAACAAGAACAAAAAATCAAAGAAAAAGCTAGAAGAAAAGGAAGACAGCCCGATGGAAGTCCCGAACGTTTTACAGGAAGAGATGCAAGGAAACGACAAAACAGAGGATGATGTTCATGAAGACGAAGCCGTCGAAAACGATGAAAGTTGTAATCGCAAAAAATATCCATTGGACGACTCACTTGCTGTGTTACGACGGGAAATGGTGAGATATTTAGAGGCTTTTCAGTCTTCAGAACTTATTGAGTTTTTAAAAATATTTGTTTGGTTCCCTCGCGCGTTTTTTCATTCTGTTTTTATCACGAGCCGAATTGAAGTTCTACTGTTTGTTTGTTTTCTTCTTTCGTAAAGGTGATCACATCTAAGAAATTTTTGCAGAGCTTTAATCCCCTGAAGATTAAAACTGCCTGCAATCTATTATCCACTCAAAGTCCTGAGCTCAGCAATCTTCAAAAAAACTGAAACTTAACAGAGTTTAAAAGTGTCTTTGTTTTATTTCTGCGTGGACTTTGTCAAGCAAATCATCTACATCGAAACCTCTTTTACTCCGACGAATGACTAGCGTGTGAAACGTCAGTAAGTTTTTTCATCTTTTTCACGGTGTATGATTTACCTTTTTATCATTACTGTTGCATCAAAACTAACACATTGACATTTCCTTCCGATTCAATACTCTAAGTTTGAATCTTCTAATACATGGTAATATTCACGTATGTTCTGTTTTGATTGTCAATTATTCGCAAATAGTTTTACCCCCTCTATTAGTTATTTTACTCCGACGAAGGACTAGCGTCCGAAACGTCAGTAAGTTTTTTCATCTTTTCTCGGTGTATAATTTACCTTTTTATCATTACTGTTTATTAGTTAACGCTGACAAATGTTACATTCAAAAGTCTTTGCCAGTTATCTCAAATAATTCATAATTTCTAAGTAATTTCATACATGCCTTTTATCAATATTATCAAAATATCATTTGTGGTTCTTTTTGTTTTTGTTTTTTCACGTAATCTTGCGCATTTAGCCATCATCACTCGTATATCTTGCTTATGTGTTTTCAATTTTCCAGAATCACTCGCATTGACGCATTTCCTGTTATGAAGGTCCACTCGTTTATTCAGATACTTTTTTAGATCCTTGCTTTTATTTACATTTCCGTCATGTTTCTTCAAAACAAGTTTTTTATTCCAAGTTTTTAACAAAGTTTTTTAACAATTTATAAACATTTTAGATTCGTTTATTTCCCTGTTTTTCAAATTGTTCATTGAAAACTTGACAGTTTTCAAAGATAACCCAGGTCTGAGAGACAATTTCAAATAAATCTCTATGAGGTCCCATTCCTGCATAGCTGGAACACTTTAGGAAAACTTCAAAGGAGTGGATGCCGCTCACTTTCGTGACAACTCTTATGAACTTGAATTGCACAAAAGCTATATAGTTATTCTTATAATTCCGTTAAATTCTTCAAAAAATAGGATTCGTCATAATTGATGCAAAGGCTAGTTTTCTTGTGATCAATAAAATCAAGTAATTTTAACCATTTTAACGTATTTCAAATTTAAATTCGATGAAAGAAGTGTTTATGAGAGAAAGAACAAAGAGCCGTCAACAGCCTTTTGTCAGAGGTGAGACGCCTTGCAATTAAAGAAATGATAAATTATCAATAAATGAATAAGTAAATATTCAGTTTTAACTTCAACATTCACTCCGTTGCCACCGCGAACTATGCCTTAGATATTGAGTACTTTTGCAACCCTCGTTTTTCTTTTCAACGGCATAAAAATCGTCAAGTTAAGAATTAAAGTCGTTTTAATAATCGTTTGTTTACTCTTAAATGTAAAAGCCGGATTATTCAAACAAGCGCACATGCATGCCAAGGATGTTACACATCTTTCCCACAATTATTTTACACAGTTATCATTGTATTGTATTCCCGCCAATTTTTATATCATTATTTAACTAAGACAAGTTGCATCAATATTTGATAATGATTTTTCTATAGAAATTGTTTTCTAAGTTAAACTTTTATGGTTAAAATATTTCAAAAATGTTGAAAATCTTCTATATATATACTTAGCAGTTTTGTCGACTATTACGCATGCGTGGATGAAGTCGTTGAAAGTTAATCGTACCTGACGTGTATTTTTTCCGTTGCATCATAGTTATCAACTATGGTTGCATGTATATATCTTGAATACACTTCTAAAAAACAAAAACTTGACGTCAAACTTACGTAATTTCCTTTCAGTTCATTTATTTATTTTAACCAGCTAAGCATTTAGATCAAAAATATTGCTTTTCCCTTGAACGAAAAGACTATTCAATAGTCAATAATTTTTGTCGATGCTGGTTTTTCTAGTCTGCAATGCGYGCGCTATATCATTACTTATCTAATCAAAATCTTAATAGATGATTACGGCCACGTTTTTTAAAGTCATGTACAAAGTCTGCTCTATCGACAACAAAATGTTTACAGTTCCTTCTAATTTTCACACTATTTCCTTATTTTCGACAGCATTCACTTCGCAAACAAGATGTAGAGCTTATGACCCAGTTGTTGGCTCTCAACTCAAGCATTCAGAAATTCAAAAGCAGCTCAAGCTCAATCTCCATGTCGAATTTTTCCGACATTTCCGACGCAGAAACAGATATCACTGAAATCGAAGCAAAACCCTCCATTGCGCATGCGTGCCACCAGCGCGAGAGTTCAGGGTCGGACGCCAGTGACTTTGAGTCACGTGGGTACGAAAAACATGGCCGATCTTCCAAGTACACGAATGTCAAACGTGACAGCAATGGCTCGGATATAAGCGGTTACTATAGCAATGCTTCCCCGTATGGAAGCAATCGATCGCTCAATGGATATGACGTCAACGGAAGTGATTACCCGTCCACCTCGATTGTCATCGGTGATGATCTTAGAGCCCAGCAGGTCGTTCACAGAAGACAAAAACAATGGTGGAACCAAAATGTTGTGACGGGCAACGCTAGATCAGGAAGTGACTCGACACTTAGCCAATGTTTTCCAGAGACTGGGGGAGCTACATTATACCCTGCAGTCCAGTCCAGAAACTTCTTTCCTGGAGACGAACGAGTCAAAAGGATAAGTCTTCAACAGAAAAGAATCAACAACCGCAGACACTCGGCCATGGGACCTCAGTCCCTTACCACGAGCCTTACACGAAGTGAAAGTGACCAGTCTATCAACGGATGTGACGTAACGAGTAATCCTATTTCTGGTAGTCTTCAGAAATGGCAGCGTTCGCGAAGCAGTTGCGCCTTGAATAGAGGATATGGAGCATCCTCACCGGTACAGAACACGATCAAAGTAGACCTCCGTCACAACCCACCAATGCCAGGTACAGCTATAGAGCTAGTACTACCGATACAGCCTTTAGCACCGACTAGACGAAATTCCGCAGTGCGCATGGCTGAAAGAAAACCACTGACCAAGCTCAATACTTTAAGCAAACGGCAGAGTATGATTTGGTGACTAGCCGGCCGCAGGTGTCCAGAGAGACTGGACAGAACATTGAACTAACAGGCATCAATACTGAACTCGTTCAGCTCATTAAATTTCTGGGAAAATAAGATATATATCCGCAGTTTTTTTCTACTCTGTTTCGAACATCAGCACTCATAACTTCGTATTTTGATTAGATAAATCAAATTTAAAAACGTATTAGAAAAAATTAAAGTATATATGAAAGTATGCGGTGACATATACTGCTTGGTGTCTTGTGGGAAAAAAAAAGAAAAGACTTGTCCCTAGCAGTAGGGTCTCTCTACCTTCATGTAGATATGTCCTTATTTGAGCAACATTTCCTGACCGTTCTGTCATGTGTTTATGACGACGACAAAGGCTGTGGTGCCTGCTATACATTAGACTATCATTTCACGAGCTAAGATCGCAGTTACTCTACCGTATCCGTAAAATTGAGCGAGAGGTTTTTCGTATGAGTGGGAAACATACAGTACTGACATGCCGTAACACTGAAATGGCTTCCTATTGTCTATTATTATTCAACCAATCACATCGCATAACTACGCCTACGGTAAGGTACAGTTCGGCTACAGCACGGCTACGAGTTTTCGGTATCTTTTCCAACTCATACGAAAACCGCTCTTACTAAAAGACTCATTTACGAGTTTCTTTCAATGACGACTAACTCATGCATTTATTCTTAAAGTTCATGTTCAAGTTAGGAATAAGTTGTTTCGTTGACCTCCGTTCATTTCAACGGTAAACGATAAACGAACGTAGAAATTTGAGAAGACAAGAAGATTTTAGCGGTCAACGCGAATCACCATGGCAACGACGCGTTTACAAATAATTTTTGAGCCGGGATTCAAAGCAATTATTAGTCTTGGTTCATGTCTAATTGTAAACCTCCGAACTGGAGTCTGTAACAGCATTTTGCTAAAATAAGCTAGCTACGAAATATAAATTACAAAAACTATGGCAAAATCAAGTTTTTATTCATGAAATTAAAAAGAATAATGAAATAAAGTGTCATCTAGTTTGCGTACAGCAAAAATAGATTGGAAATGTATTTTTCGTGTTTCTCCTATATTCCTTACGTATCAAAATAATTATGCAAATTACCGTAATAAAAATTATTTTTTTATTTTCGATGATTCAGATTCAATGAAATAAAATAAATTTAAAATAATTGTTTTGTACTGTTATTAACTTTTTTGCTGAATAGTTTTTATCGCGATTCTTGTCTTTCATGTTTCATATTTTACTTTCTTTCGCTTTTACATTTTTTCTTTATTTTTTATCTGTTTCTTTATTCTTTTTCTCTGCATTTTTATCGTATAGTTTGCGCGCTCGCTTCTGTCCAAAACAAGTTTATTTCAGTTTATTTCCCTTTCAATTTTTGTTTCATTTTCCTTTTCTATCTTAATCTCTTTAGCTTTTACATTTTTTCTTTATTTCTTCTCAGTTTCGTTAACCTTTTTCTCTGCATTCATCGTCTAGTTTGCGCGCTCGCTTCTGTCAAAACAAGTTTGGTATGCCACCTTCTATCTGTATACGTGCACAAGAAATATGTTTGCACATTCTGACGTCATTACTGTTCGATATAATGTTTACTTGCAGTCGTTATTATTGACAAACGGCACATTTATTGACGCTACTGCAAAGCAGCCATCGACAGCTTGGATCAAAATACAAAAGTCAAGCTGCCTGGTTTCATAATCAACTCGACCAACGCCGGATTTTGACACCTAAAAGTTAGTTAACAGAATTTGTGTCTAAAAGAGATGTAAAGTTGTCTAAAGTTAGACTAACTGTTCAACTAAATCCTGAATAAGTATTTTATTCCAACATTCAAAGGAAAGACAAGAGGCCGAGAGACTAAGAGAAGTGAATTAGAGTAAGTAGTGGTTTTTAAGCCTTCCTTCACCATTCCTCGCTATGTTAATTGCCAAAACCGCTTTAAAACTTTGTTTTATTGACTTTGTTTGAAGCTCTTTAATTTCCTTTTACAAAGAATTATCGAGACTTTGAGCCAGAAAGTTTAAGAGTTTAAAATGATTTGAAGAATAGGTGCATTCAAAGTCACTCAACTCAAAGTGTGTGATAATATCAATTCAAGAAACATTTTAAATGACCTCAGTGAAAACAAAAATCTATTGAGTTTGACGAACTCACTGGTCAAATGATGTGTAGTAATCGATACGAGGTGCGATCTGCGAAGAAAACTACAAAAACTAGAAAACTGAGTTGGTTAGAACCAGAGTTTTTCCTTGCTCTTATTCTCGCCATCGATTTATCCATGCAAACGATTGATGCCGGGCACATGGAGAAAGTTAAGGGAATGCCTTTGCCGGACTGCCTGATACACCGCCTTCACCGAGCTTAAGACTGATTTTTAGTGCCTTAATAATTAGATATATCAGCTCTTAAAGACGTAGTTAACACTGATCATAGAATCAACCGCAACGGAATCAACCCACGGAACTTAACGTGAAATATATACGACCTTCTTTGTATAAGAAAATTCTACAGGTCAATGAGTTGGCTTTCTTGCGCAAAGAAGGTCGTATTTTCACGTTAAGTTCCTTCTATCATTTATCCTGTGGATGCTAAATGAAGTGCTAAACGTGTTCGATCTTTCCCTGTGACCAAAGTCAACTAACTACTGTGGTATTGAATCTATTCTTTGTTTGTTTGACAACCTTTCAATGAAACAAACTTTTCATGTTAAGTAAAGTCGACGGACACATGGAAGGTTGATGTCTTTGTCAGTTCAAATCGATTATAAAAGCGTCCTGAGCTCTTCAAGCCTCGATAATCGTTAATATTATCCGTTAGATCATTGATAAAGTCCTAAGAAGATCATTGGTGTAATGACTCAAGATCCAACCGACTTCAAACGAGCCCGTTTTGCAAACATTAATATGAAATCAATTCCTCGGCTAATTAAACCTTCATATTTTATCAATACCTTGAACTACCGCCTCTGCTGGGCTGATAAAAGCCAGGGCAAGGCTAACTCACAG